AGACTTAATTACAACATTCAAAATACTAAAATTCAATTTTGGAAACCTCGATGAAATATTTATCATAAACCAAGATGAACGCCTCAGAGGTCATCAATATAAACTAAAGAAAGAAAATTTTTCTATAAGACAAAGACAGAACTTTCTTCCAAATAGAGTTTTTGAGTGCTGGAATAACCTCAACGATAACATTGTCTCCGCTTCTTCTACCAACTCGTTCAAAAACAGACTCGACAGTTTTATATTATAGTTAAAATATTGCTTTTCCTTTAAACCAAAAATTGTAATTTTATTTCTTTTAGTTGTAATTTTTGTTATTTACTAGTAGGTGATAAATGAAATTTCTTTGTTTTTGGGCATAATAGGGACTTAGTTCCTCTGCCCTCGCTTATTTTATAATAATAATAATAATTAAACATATCAAAGACAAAGATCATGATAGTGGATAGACTACACAACAATCATCCACATATAACCGCAATTGACCGGTTCGAGGTTGTGAGCTCATACTTATTTCTGGGATCATTAATCACAAACACAGGGTCATTACAAGAAGAGATTAAACGTAGATCTGATCTAGCAAAAGTTGCCACAGCAAAAATGACCAAAATATGGAAGGACTGTCAAATTTCAAGAGCGATAAAGATGAGGTTGATCAACTGCTTAATATTTCCAGTACTGACCTACGGATGTGAATCTTGGACTCTGAGACAATCGGAGAGAAGAAAGATAGACGCCACTGAAATGTTCTGTTGGAGACGAATGTTACGAAATCCTTGGACCGACCGCAGAACAAATAATTCAATTTTAAGAGAGCTAAAAGTTAGCCAACGACTCTCTAGTAAAGTCCATCTCCAACAATTAAAATATTTTGGGCATGTTATGAGAGCAAACACAGAAAACATGGAAAGACTCATAATACAAGGAAAGGTAGAAGGCCGAAGATCACGAGGAAGATCCCCAACAAGATGGATAGATCAAATTACAGGAATATGCCAAAGACCTATGCATGATTTAAAAGAAATGACCAGAGACAGAGATCTCTGGAGACGGACAATACACGTCATCACGTCGACCACTACACTCGCCCTGTGGGGTCGGGATTGAAGAGAGAGAGAGAGAAACTTAATATTAACAAAGTTATGGCTGTTCGGAAGTAGACTTTTATACATTGAATACAAAGATCAAACATATGATGTTGAATAACAGGAAAAAGTTGTTCATGGAAAACTTATAAAAACTTTTTTAAAGGTCTTAAAAAACCTTTAAAATGGTCACTAGTAAAAGTGATTTTAAAATTTAAATTTACGCAAGTTATAACTAAAATAAAGTCCGCTTATATTTTTTTGTGACGCAGAAAGTAAACTCACTCCCGTTAAAACCACCCTGTTGAAACTATTCGTTGTTCATTTATAATTTACTTCATTTATATGCAAACATTACATTCTGGAGGTTTAACTTGTTCAGGTTTACTTTTTAAGACGGATTTGCTTGAAAATTTGGGTTTAGGTTCCTTTGACCCTCTACTTTACTTTTGGACTCGAGTTCAGGGTTGCTTTTACTTGGGGGGTGAAAGCCACCCCTTCCAGACGTGAAAAATTTTAAGTTCGGAAATGGATAAATTGAGTAATTCTAAGAAACTTTTATTGCATAAAGTTTTTTCACTAAATCAATACTTTTTGAGTTGTGAGTGAAAAATGTCTATTTTTCAAAATAAAAACCACGTTTCATACGGTTTTTCTCAAATAACTCAAAAAGTAGCTATTTATCGAAAAATATTATTAGTAAAATGTAGCTTATAAAAGAACAAAAAAAAAAATGGTGTACTTATAAAGTCTGTACGCCCAGTAGAAGCAGAGTTTTAGCTCTCGAAAAGTAGGGTTCTTATTTATCAAATTCCAAATCGAATATTTCAAAGTGAAATAACCAAAAAATGAAGCACTTTACGGGGAAAACTCATCAAAACTTTTTGAATTTTAGTGTTTAAGAAAGCGCTATTTTTGTTTTTTTTTTCTATCATCAAAACTAATCGAGTTACGTTCAAAATAAAGATGGTTCCTTTTTTTTGGTAAAAACATCGTGAAAATCATCTAATTAGGAACCCAAATAAAATTAATTGTTACTGCATTACAATTTACTTTATTTATGTATATTGTTTATATGATTTGCAAACAAAGTGTTTATTTGAAAAAAGTAGTTTTCTGCCCTTTTTTCCAAATAACAAAAAGTATTAGTGATACAAAAAATCTTAAAAAGTAAAAACTAAAGACTTTGCTTTTCTGAACATCTTGTTTTTTTTTTGTTTTTTTTTGTAAGACAAAAATTGTTTAAGATATTTTGTTGTTCAAAGTTTGTATACACTCGTGATTAGTGACTTGATCAAGTTCGTTCAACGACAACTGTGTTTTCAAAATAAGGGTTTAAACAATTAATTTAGATGGTTTTATTGCACTTAAAAAAATTATAAAATGGTTTTTTACGTACTTCATAGAACAACAGCTAACCGAGTTATGAGTAAAAATCAATTACATATTCTAGGAAATATCAGAATGCGTATACTGGAGCATTGTAAGATATACATAATGTGCTATTAGGACACACTCATACTTTCACTCATCCTCAACTCAACTCCTCAACTCAACCCAACAAGGGTTGTTTTTTAAGTTGAAATACAATAAATTCATAACATTTTGATGAAAAAAATATTGTTTTTATAGTTTCAATGAAAAAAAAAACTACAACTATTCGAATTTCTTCACAAGGGGGGGGTTTGTATAAGGGTAAAAATTATGTGGCAAAAAATTAAAACAGTAAAGAAATCTAAATTTAATGTCACTGTAGAATTAAATAATACCTATTGAATTTAAAATTATATGATTTTTGTTTAATAGGCGTCATTTTCACACCTAAAAAATAAAAAGCAACCAACCGCACAAGTCTAATTTTGAAGTGGAGGCTAAGTATAACCTGAAAACAAATTTCCATGTAAATCAGTGAAGACAAGGTGTTCAATGACATTGTTTTAATTATACGTAATCTAAAGGGTGAGGTTTGAGGGTTAAACTGTAATAATAAACATTTTAAATTATGTTGTTTAATGTTAATTAAAAGGTGATCTGATGATAAAAATATACGATTTTTTCTAATATGGGTAGTTTTTACCCTAAAAATAAAAAGCTACCAACGGCACAAGTCCAATAGTAAAGTAGAGGATAAGTAGAACCTAAATGCAAATTTTAGTTCAATTCGGTGGTGACACGGAAAATTACGGGGTTAATATTACCAACTGGAAAAACAAAACAAGGAACAGAACAGAATGGCGGAAAATCCTAAAACAAGCCAGGACTCAGAAACGGTTGCTACTGATGATGATGATGAATAATAAAAAACGAATCTCTTAGATTATAAGCTTCATTTTATATCCAAAGAGTTTTCTCGATAAAATCTAATTTTTTGGGTTTATTCGCGAAAAATCGTTTAAAAATATGCTTTTATGCCGCGTCATTTGTTAACTTTCAGTCACGAGTAACTCCAAAAATATGACTTTTCGAAAAAAACACTAAAGAACAATTTTGGATCAAAATTCATCAATATAGCGACTATCATATTTTTTTGATAAACTTTTCCGATCCCCCAGATGAGGTGGTAACCGCCCAAAGAGGAAAAAATAGTCAATTATAATCTATGAGCTATTTTCTACCTTCTCCTTCTTCTTTCTCTTTATAAGCATTTTGCTTGTCACAACTCTATGGAAGGTTGTCACTCCATCTTTTGCGTGGTCGTCCGATACTTCTTCTGCCGATTGGTGACTTACCTCTTGCTATTTTGACGACACGGGTCTTCCCCATTCTGGTTATGTGGTTATTTTAATCTTTTTTTCTATTTAGTGTCTATTCGTTTATACACTGTGCGTAACATTTTCTACTAATATCGTCACTTCTGTTTCGATCTCTCAGCGTATTTCCTGTAATTCTTCTCAGTACTATTATCTCCGCCATTACCAGTAGCTTTTGTGTTGTGGCTGTGTCGGGTCTTGTTTCTGAGGCATACGTCATTACTGATCTTATACTGGTTTTATTAATTCATGACTTCATCTCAGTGTTAATGTGTCTGTTTTGCCATATGGTGTTATTAAGGCATCCTGCCAGTCTATCTGCTTTTTGTTTTGGATCTCTTACTTCTTTTTCCAGGTCTCCATAGCTCAACAGTGTAATTCAAAGAAATTTTGGTTCTTTACTGATTACTATTGTTTTAGTTTTTTGAGATGAGATTAATTCTTTTGCTCTTCTGTTAAAATCTGTGAAGTAGTCTTTACAGACTATCTTCATTTTGGGCTATCAATATCTACCTGCATTTTTGTTTTTGGGTGGATAAAGAAGCTCGAAAGAAATGTTGCCGATGCCAAGCCTGGATAAAGGGGGAGGGAGTCTACAGCTAGGTTAGCAACCGACTGATAGATTTTAAAACTATACAGCTCATAGACACAGGATTATTTTCTACCTACTGTCAGAATTTCAAGCAAATCCATGTATATAAAAAGAATTCTGACAAAAACCGTCATATCCTGGACTAATGGTATTATGATTCAATGAAATATAAGTTAATTTACTGCAACACAGCCGGTTTGTAACGGCTCTCAAAAAATCCCTGAGTACATTTTTCTGTGTTGGCTTTTTGGTACCCACTTTTTTTACCTATAAATTTTTTTAAATATTATGGAGATTAAAGTAATTGAGTTTCTTCTAAATTTCTCAACAAGCACATTCTTTGTTTCACAAGTGATGAATCTTTACTTTGTTTGATTTTCCTCCAAAACAATTGATTCTTTTCAAGATACTTAGCAGGATCTTTATGTGTGAAGTTTTTTAGCCATTCCATTACATTCAGTATTTCTTGAGTCTCCTTATGTTTTTTTACTTTTAAAATTTTTTACTATTTTGAAATTTTTTGAATACGCTCTCGTTCCAATATGTAAAAGGAAAAATAAACATTCGTTTTTTTGCTTAAAATTTTAGTTTTATTCCTTAATAATACATGATATCTCAACAAAATTATCTGTACTTAAAACTACTTTGGTACTAACAGTGTCACATATTTGAAAATTTCTTAGTGAAAACATTTCTTTCTACTACAAGAAACAAACATTTCCCTTATTAATTATTAAAAATCTATTAATTTTATCTACACCATTATCAACAATAAAATAGTATCTGGTTAAAGTATCCAGTAAAAATATCGTATGCAGTTTATAATAATAAATAACTGACGTACGTTTTAATAAAATCAATAATAAAATTTAGGGACCCGAAGAAAAACAAGCTAGGTTAAAAACATCAGTTAAGTCAATGCTATCTAGAAATAATTGGTGAAATACATTTTAAAGTATTAAACCAAAGTTGCAAGATTTGTAACATTAAATGTAAGGCATTTTTTTGTAAGTAAAAACTACCAATAATTTCCAGAGAAACGGTTCCCAAACCCGAGTTCAACACAACTAACAAATAGGTTTTCGAATTGTCTGAAGCTTAACTCAACAACAACTTTATTTGGTATCTGTCAAATTGATTTCTCAGTCATGTAGAGATGTCTAAATCGGTAATGGATGAATAAGCAAAACGATCATATGCAGACACTCCCCAAAATTTTCGCTTCTCTACGTTAGCCTCGATACAGTATATAGCTGACTGTCAGGTCTGTAATATTTAACATTTAATATTTAATAAAATAAAATGTAACTGTTAAAAAGTAAAACTGGAAAAATTGTCGCAACCTGGAATACCTGTTCGCCTACTTTCGATCACACATCAAGGTACGGTGCACGGAAAGAGAGGTTCAAGAAGAATCAGAATATCCCGGCTTCATAATCTACGAAAATGGTTTAATTTGACCACTACTGGACATTGAAGGGCAACACTCAACAAAGTCAAAGTCAAAGTTTAAAATAAATTTAATTTACTACATTTATTAAAATATTCACCAAAATATTCTCATGCCTAACCAAATATTAGTTTATGTGAATGGCCGACTTTTCTGAACCTCCGGAAATGCAAATTTATATGTAAAGATCAACACCATTCATTTACCTACCATTTATTTCGGCTACTTTTATTATTAATTTGTTTTAATTTCTAGTAAAACGGAATTACTATCCATCCGACTGCAAAATTTATTACCAAAAAGTAAGGCGAGAGAATTTATTATTTAAAATTTGACCTCGATATTTTTTGTTTTCTCCTACTATTCAGTTTGTGACTTACTGATGTTTGGACCTTACGACTGAAAGTGCCAAAAGTTAAGAAGATATTAAAAAAAATAAGCATAATTTATTATGTAGTGAAAACTCAATTATGCAATGCGAGAAATATACAGGATAGCCTAGTAAATGTAACAGAAAAGATCAGTTTCGAGAATAGTTTCGAGAAAAATAGAAAGAATATATTGAACGAGAATAAAATGAAAATTGTAATTTTAGAATTAAAGAAAAAAAGCAAGACAGCAGAAAGAAAACAATAAATAAATAAAAAACAGAATACGGTAGCAATACAAATAAAACAAAAAGAAGGAAATAAAAAATAAGAAAAATAAAGGGGTTAAAAAAAAACGAAAAAGAAAAACCCACTACGCTTAAATAAAAGAAATACAGAAAAATATTATAAAATAACAGATAGAAGTTAGAAATGTCAGAAAAGGAAAAATGGACCATGCCAAAAACGAAAAAAAAAAGACAATAGAAATAAGCAGGAAACAGAAAGGGAATAGAAAAGAAATGGAAGAAAGAACTAGAAATGCTATAAAAAGCGTATAAGAAGCCTTCTGCTATAAGAAGTCTTCTGCTTTAAGAAGCAGAAAGACAAGAAGAGAACGAAAGCTAGAGTTGAAATTATTTTTTAATAGAATATTAGTTTATTATTAATTATAAATAATTGGAAATAAATAACAATCGGAAAACAAATTATTTATTTTACCTTTTTATCTCCATATTGGAAGATATTGTGGTCGAAACAAAGGATTTGCTTTTCAATTGTGAGTTATGTTAAATTTATAAAATAGAAAGAAATAATAAAAAATTATGACAAAGAATATTAAAAAGAAATAAGTAAGAAAGTTTAGAGTGAAAGAACAGTAAAAAAAGAAACTGGGAAATGCCAAGATAAATTATGAAGACTTTAGATAATGTTGAACAAAAAATAGGAACTTTATTTTATTTAATCTGTAAATTTTAATAAATTGACACTTTTCGCTACTGCTAAGCGAAATACTGTGAAATATCTAGAAACAGTAGGTAATTTTACATGTAAATATAATAAATTCTCAAATATATATTAACATACAAATTGTATTTCAAGGTATAAAAAACAAACTACATACCTTACATGTTAGATGCATGATCTATCAAAATAAACTCTTTATTATTAATGGTTCGTATTTAATTGGAAGTCCTTACCAAAAGGTAGTAAATTTAATTATTTCGACATTTCGACAGAAACTTTAATCGTAAAGAGTTCATTTTTACATTTATATTTGACTTCTAAAATTTTTATAAATAAATTTTTGGGGTATATATAAGCTTTCGTATATCAGCTTAGCAGTTTTAAATAAATTAGCAATCTTGGATGCAACAAAATGAACTTCATGAATTGGAGTTTTCACTAAATCTTTGTGATGCAGTTCTTAACCCTTTCCGTTAAAGATATAATTTAATAAATATTTACAACTATTTACTTTAAACGGTTTAAATAAGTTTAGATTTTCTTAAAAACTAAATTCTTCTGCCAGTATTATTTACTACGAAGGTCCAAGAAGAAAGATTAGTGCACTTTATATCAAGAATGACTAAAACTTAACAACAATCACAGCAACAACGACCAACTAGTCTTCTTTAAGATTATTGAATTCCCTAACATCACGTATCTCCTCCTCATCCATATCTTTATCCCCCCAACCCCACACACATTCTTCGTGCGTGTGATGGTGATGATCTTTATTCGATTCTCCCTCTACTTTGCCATTTGTCCAGGATCCGTCTCCCGTTCGGGCCACTCGCTTCTTCACCATTTCCATGGAAGCAGTTTTCAAGTCGTAGGCTTGCCCTATTCGTGACATGAAGTCTAATACTGCCGTTGTATAGTTCAGCTTGTAGTCTCCTAATTCGGCTGCTTTGTAATCCCAGGGGAAAGTGTGATGGTAGTTGTGCCAGCCCTCCCCGAAGCCCAGAGCTGAAACGTATTTGTTTTCTGTGGGTCCGATGGTACTGCAAACAAAAATTAAGGTTTTAAAACATATTAGATTAAAGAAAATTTAATTTTAATATTTAATTGCTCTTATGAAATATGCAAAAAGCCATACAAAATAAAGCTAAACTGGGGTACAAGCTAAACAAAGCGAACTTGGTGGTCTGCGGGGGAACAGCGTGTGGTCTGCGCAACAGACCACACGCTGATCAGAGTCAAAATAAGAATGACATTAGCCACAAATAAAAACCGAAAGACTGGCAAAAGAAATAGATAAAACGTCAAAGACCTATAACATGAAAGTATAAGAAATAAATTAACTGAAAGTCTATGTGACAACAAAGTGAAGGGTCAGTGGAAGAAATATAGAAACATATTTAATAGAAGAGAATCTGCACCAATCAACTTAAATTAACTGAAAGTCTATGTGACAACAAAGTGAAGGGTCAGTGGAAGAAATATAGAAACATATTTAATAGAAGAGAATCTACACCAATCATCTTATAATTTCTAGGAATACCGACTTTAATTTGAGAAAGTTTAAGTCTATTTTCACTTTCATTTTGTAATAATTTGCAAGCAAAACATTATGGAATGCTCTAAAAGTTTTAGTGAAAGTGAAAAACCTGTATTAATAGTAGATTCTCAGAAATTTGCAAGACATAAAGGGTTAAAAAGTGATGAAATATGTTGGAGATGTGCGATTCACTTAAGTTTAACAGTCAAATACATTCACTAAATTCATAACACTATTTATAAAAAGATACAAAAAACTTTACTGGTTTTTTACTAAAAAAAATTACTATTAAGACAATAAAAGATAAAAATTTTATCATTACCAGCGATATTGAACAAATTATCGTATTTTGTGTCTTACAAATGTATCTCTTCTTTGCAAAAGTAGCAAATTTGTAGCATTTTCGTTTCATCCCGTATATGATAAAACACCGAAAAATATTCTTAATCTTTTTGCGTCTCTGAGATTGATAATCTAAACACATTTTGGAGTCTGTTTATAATAAACAAATTGTTCTTTCGATTAAACTTGGTTACGCCTAGATATTTACGCAGAAAATCAAAACCAAAAAGAGTTTAAAAAAATTTCTTCTTTCAAAAAGATATTCACGCTTAAAATTTTTTAGTTAACATTACTTTCTAAGCAGCTAGAGGATTTGTTTAAACTGCGTCCTAATTTTAAATAGTTTAGAAATTTTCTTATTTAGTGTTGCCCAGGACATCTCTGTAAGTATTTTTTGATTCTTTTTCGTAATTTTCTCTTAGCCCCTCTCCCCAAAAAAGGAATCCTTATCCACGACCTTGCCCTCGTACAAAAACACGAGTAGCCGTTGGCAAACGTTTTAATTTATTTGCTTACCCTATCTCCAAGCCCAGTAATTGTTCAGTTCCTCCGTTTAACCCTCTATAGCAAATTTAAATTGTTAAAAATTCTAATATCGATCGTACATTCAACTACTGTCCAAATCATTTCTTGCAGTGATTCACACTGCATATATTGGAAAATTGACATTATATTCCGCTTGCTTTTTGTTTAATACCACATAAGAAATAATGTTCTTACAAAAAACTTGTTTGGAATGAAATCTGAACCGGAAATGATTGTGGCAGACTTTGAAATAGCCATTCAAAATGTCATAAGAACAGTGTTCTCAAATTACAAAATAGTAGGCTGCAGGTCTCAGTTGGCAATGATTTCGCAGAATTTAAAATCTGAGCCTCGTTTATATTACAGGGACAAAAACAGTAAAACCGAAAAATGGCTACGATATGTATATTCGGTTTACCATTCTCAAATCCATCCGGAAGTAAGATTCATAATTTTACCCAGACGAGTTCATGAATTTATTGTTATTTACCTGATATTCTCGGGAATGAATTGATTTCTTGATGTTTCTTCAGGTAGGAGATTAACCAAATTGGTAATTTTTATCCCAGGACGAGTTAATGCATGTCGGCATCATTGATAACTAAAGATACTTTACATTTTATGGGAGAAAGGAAGAATATTAAAGAAGAAATATTGCAAAAGGAAGGATCAGACTAGGAAAGTATACTTGAACAGAAATATAGTGACCAAAATGCAGAAATTTAGAAACAAGCTATAAATGATAAAACATTACAGACATAATAAGATAAGAATATCTGAGAAAGCTGCGCAATAAAACAATTTACGAATACGATACGAATTGATCATTTCGAAGGTAAAAGAAAAGAATGTAGAAAAAGAAACATGGAGGTGAAACTAAAAAGCACCGAATTCAAAACTATTTAAACATGTAGAGTTAACGAAAACAAAATTAGGTAAGACACGTGAAGAACGTGTAAAACATCAAATCGCATTGTCTCATGTTAGTCATTCAGAATTATGTCTGCATTTTTTAATTTGTTAATTTCCATAGATTCTAATAAAGATAGCTTTATTTTGAATGTGGATAATTTGAAATTGGCCATTAAAAGAAGATTATGGTCTAGAAGATGAAGTGCGTACGTAGAATATATTTTTCTATTATTGAAAGCCTTTTATGTTTTCCTATACGTTTGTTAAAGTTTCTACCAGTTTGACCGTTGCAACTTTTTGAGCAGTCGTCACATTTAAGTTTGTATACACCACTAAGTAATTGCTTTTTCTTTTGGATTTTGCTGTTTTTAATGTATTTGCCTAAGTTGTTGTTTGTTCTGAAAGCTGGTGTTATTCCTTTCTTTTTATGTGTTTAGTTATTTTTGTTGATATCTTGCTTGTTTATGTAATCGAGCAGAAAATGCTGGGTTTTTTCTTTGGTGGTTGAAATAGTTTCAGGTTCAAGTTTTATCTTAAAGTTTTTTTGTGAAATGAGAATTTCTAATAATATTCTGTAACAAGCTATGGTAGGCTGCCAATTTATGTTGTGTAGGATGTAAGAACTCATCTTTGTTTTTATTCTCATAATTTTTAAATCTTGAAAATTTATGGATTGATTCTGTTCTGTTTCTACTGTAAATTCAATATGACTATGGGGTGAATAAATATACGATAAAAATTGTCCAAGTTGTCTGTTAGTTCCACTAAAACATACCAGTACATCGTTTACGTATCTGCAACAATATAAAAATTGTTTGAATACGGGATGTTTTGAAATCTTTGTTTTTAGATGATCCATAAAAATATTTGTTAACAATGGGCTTAGAGGATTACCAAGTCCTGCACTGTTATTTGTATATATTTGGTTACTAAATTCAGAGTAGTGCTGGTTTATGCAAATTTCTTCTCCTTCCTCTTAAAAAGCAATTCAGCTTGTTCATTGTTGGATTAATATCTCTATGGAAGGTTGTCGCTCTATCTTCCGATATGCAAATTTCAAGAAGATATAATGATTGAATTTGTAATATTATGGTCTAAAAGATTTTTTAGACTATAGTCTATTACCATGTTACATATATTAATAGAAATTCTCATGTTAAAAAACAATTTCAAGATAGAACTGAATATCATTAAGCAAATAGCAGTAGACTATTAGTACATAGAATATACAATAAATACAATTTTAAATTAAAAAATACATAAGCAAGTCCTGAAACTAGTATTTCTAACACCAGAGAAAAACTCAGTAACTCGATTTCATATACAGAGAAGATATTAACAAATAGTATGGTAGGATTGGTCAAAAAAAGACATAACTCCAACATCCAAAGTAAAAGTTTTTGTCCAACACCAAATTGTTCTATATGGTCTATATATTGTTCAATAAAGTTACACAAAGGGGGGGAGAAATCGGTAAATTAGTAGTTTTTTTCGTTTTTCGTCAATATTTATAAAACTATGTGGTTCAGCGTGAACAATTTTCGATACAAAATGTTCTACATTAACTTTGAAACAGGAAAGTCCTATTTTTAATCCTCTTAAAACAAACGGTTCCAGAGGTATGGAGGGTGTACAGGTACATGTCGACTATGCTACATAAGATTACGAGAAATTATTAAGCAAATTAGTTTTAAAAATTGTTAAAGTAAACTCGAAATATAAATCTCAAAATTTACAAACCGTAGAAAAAAATAAATAAGTACGAAGTAATAAAACATGAAAACACCTGAACCCTATTAATTATTAACAGGGGTTATAGGAGATGAAAACGTGAACTCTGATGAAGCGTGTGATGTCGGAATCCTAGCTGTGAAAGACATTTAAAACAAAACATTCAATGAGGTATAGAACTTAAGAAGAAAGTTAGGTCTTATGTTTCTTAGTTCTATAATAATACGCCTTTACAGGATGTGACACTGTATCAGCTATCCAGAAGAAGGGGAAAATTATGCTGTCTAGGAAAGTACAAGAAAACGACGCTCTTCGTAAAAAACTTCTAGTCTTCAACTACTCCAAAGCTGACTCCAGTGCACTAGCTGCCGCCGGAAAGCACTTCCAATTTGCGATTTTTGGAGCTAGCACCATGGAAAATCTAGATTTTATTCGCTATCAGTCTTACTTGGAGGCTATTGCAAAGTAGTCTATACTATGCTCAATTTAATTGCACTACCCCCACTTTAGGAACTTTCAGCTAGAATTCGTTGAAAACCTACCACCAGATACCGCAGCGGCTGAATGAGAAGAAGAAACCGCTCGAGTCGGCTTGGAAAAAGATTAACGAACATCTGACATCAATTACAACAGTACGTGCTGCAGTTCCAGAGGAATTACTTTCCCTCGTAGTGTGTACTTGCAAAGAAGAACCCGTAACTGTGAGTGCAGAAAAAGTGGTGTAAACTACTCAAGCATATGCAGCAATTGCTCAGGCCTAGGATGTGATAATAGGGACACACTCATCATAGACGAAGATGTAGAAGAGGAGGATGTTGTATTTGAAGAGGACTGAAACTGATAAATAAGTTTACTTGAACTGATAAATAACTTTACTTCAAACTCATTGCATTATAATTATCATTATTATGCAAGAAATATCTTGAGTATTTCAAATTATTTTGTTGGAATTTACAGTTTGAAAAGTATTCTTGAGACATTGTCCCTAGAAAGTTCAGAGTAAGTTTCTCCGTACCACAGGTTTCTATGGCCTATGCCTGTGGAAGCCTCTTTACCCTTAAAAAGTAGCGCCACTTGAGAAGGTGGTGAGGTTGACGTTCCTTCAACTAACATACCACCGCCCACTGAAATAGAAAATTACATTTACAAAACACAATCCTGTTAAAAAATGTTGCATAAAACCTTTTTTGTTTTAAAGTTGACGTAAAGCATTTTTGTATCTAATCTTCTTTACGCTTAACCGCATAGATTTTAAATAACGTAAAAAACTATCAATTTACCGACTTCTCCCCCACTGTCTCTCAAAGCGACGCTCGAAATACTGTAACGTTTTACTGAACTATGTGTGGACCATATAGAACAATTTTTATTACAGAATACTTTTTTACTTGAATGTCAAGATTTGGGTCTAATTATACTATACTAAAACATAACCAAATACATAAAAAGAAAGGAATAACACTAGCTTTTAAAACAAACAATAACTTAGGCAAATTTATTAATAACAACAAGAGCCAAAAGAAAAAAGCACTTACACAGTAGTGGATATAAAATTAAATGTGGATGCCCAAAAACTTACATCAGTCAAACTGGTTAAACTTTTAACAAACGTATAGCAGAACACAAAAGGACTTTCAATAGTAGAAAACCAAAGTCTACATACGCACTTCACCTTGTAGACCATAACCATTCTTTTAATGACCCATTCCAATTTCTTCAGATTCAAAATAAAGGCCTTAAACTGTTTTTATTAGATTCTATGGAAATTAACAAATTAAAACAGCCATGTATAATTGACTTAAATGACCAATTTCAAACAAATAGTTCTTCTCTCCCCAACTTATTTAACGGAAGAATATAAAGTGTAAACGCTTACTAAAAATAGATCACTTGAGAAAGACACACTGCCGAAACAGCTGTAGTTATAATAAATTATATTAAATTTAGTAGAAGTTTGCAAAACCAAATTTTCCAGTATTTTATTGTTGTATAAAAACATATCAACTACATACATTCCTCATCATACTAAAGATTTTACGTTTCGTTAAAAAAAAAAAAAAAATATTTCGCTTACAATATCATTGATTATATTGGTTACTTACTTGTCGTATGGCTTCGTTCCCCAAATATGAGCTGCACTATTGACCAACCAAGTGACGTTAAGCGACAAAGCATACCTAAATATGCACATGTACCAGGCTAGTAAGTAATTTTCTTTCCAGCAGTACCATGGAATGTGTGCAGGAATCAAAAAAGTTAACATCGTTACCAAAAATACGTAATATCTGAAAGTAAAGTAAATAAATATATTTTTTTCTCCAATTCCATATTTGAGAATTTAAGAGTAATAAATTTCGTATTTCTTATTATTGTTTATTTTTTTAGAAAACAACAGTTTTCAGTGAGTTATTCACAGAAATAATCATTTAACCTACTTTTTCTGGAACATAACTACAGGATCGGCTTCTACGTCACTCATGTCTACAGTCTTTCCTTTTTCCAAGACGTCCTTATGCTTTCTAAGCATTAGCCATCCTATGTGCGAGAAGAAGAAACCTCTGCTGGCATTATGTGGATCGGCGTCCGTGTCGGTGAATTTATGATGGACTCTATGATCTCTGACCCACTCGTGAATGTCATTCTGTAGAGCTGCTGTGTGGAAAAACGCTAGAAGCAATCTAAGAGGAAATTTGGCCTTGTAGGTCCGATGTGCCCATAGCCTATGCGCTCCAGCTGTTACTCCGAGACCCGCAAATACAGCAAACAAAAGATCTAAAAAAGAAAGTACAAAATACATATATATTTTTCGTAATGTTTTTTAATTTAAAAATAAATCGAATGACTATGAAAAATAATGTAGTAAAAACATAAAGATGAGTGTGCCGATAGAACTTGGTGCAATCAAAACCAACGTAAACATACATACACATTTTACACTGATGTGTATTCTAAAGTGAAAAAAATAATGTAAAACTTACTAAAAGCAATGGTGAATATCTTAACTCGTCCTAACAACATACAGTATATTCCATACGTTCCTACACCATGAAGTAACACAAAAGCCAACACGTTTCTCCAAACTATCTCCCATTTATATTTGGGTGCTTTTCTAGGGACAGACTGTTTGATTTGTTGTTGGTAGGTCTGATAGGACTGCTGGAGGCTCTCCTTGGTGGCGATAATCTGCACTGGCTCTGCCGATGTGGCTTCTGCCATCAGGAAAGACGAAGATTTTCCTAGAAGATTTGGAGCCATGTCTCTGGAAAGTAAAAATATACAGCGTTATTTATTGTGAATAGTACACGAAATAAAAAATTTTTAAATTCTATCCAATCGATATATTCAAGAAATTCTCCTGTTTTTAATGTTCCCTACTTACTTTTCATATTTTTCTCTGGATTGTCAATCTGAGCATATCATATAACTGACGCCTGACATACTCCAGATATGGTAACTCTATTTCTATTTTTATTATTTAATATTCTTTGTCAATCTCTCGCATCCGTATTTATTTTCTTTTGCATGTTATTTTAAGAATCCTCCTGTACCACCACATTTCAAATAACTATAATTTTTTTATGTATTCTAACAAAATGCACCTCTATGACTGTGATGCATATGGGGAAAATATCCATTTTGATATAGCAGATGTTAAGTGGTCTAATGTATTTAGGTGATCCAAGAAGTGATTTGTTATCTGTAAACTTGGATAAAATGGATACAATATTTGTTAGTTTTTAAGAGATAGTTGAGTTTTAACATTCAATAATGAAAACACACATATTAATCAAAGTTTATAAATTTCTTGTAACAAAAACCCTAAAAATCCCGAGAAAAAGTAAATTCATGCTATATTATTCTATTTATTGCTTAAATGTCTTCTTTCAAGTCGACATTGTACTATTTCAAACAGAGCTCTTACTCAAACATCTCAGAGCTCTTACTCTGTTTTAATATAAGGTCTTTCTAGCAGATAATTGTTTACATTTTTACAATTTATGGCCAATTCTGTTCTATCTCTTATTTTTGTTGTTTGATGCATTATTTTCTGAAATCGACGTTCCCGGGTAGTTGTATTTTTTAACTTTTTGTATAAGTACATAACTTTATCAGTTACATGTAATAGATGAATATTAAGAGTGTTGAGAGTAGGTACTAAAAGAACGGAAAACTCGTTTCCTATTAATTTAAAGAGGGTGTAACAAATAGTTGCAATTTCTAGGTAATTCTTATTAAATATTCAGATATTTGCGAACCATAAAATGTTACCTTGAAGTCTAATTTCTAAATATTTTCTTAGCTTTATGGTAGGTGAATCCTGGTGCTAATTAAAGAATATACTTGTAAAGGAATAATAAAAACGTTATTTAATCTACACAGCAAATTGAAATAAACAAACAGTATTTTACTGGGAAATATTTTGCTGTTCTGATGTTCTGAGAATAACAGATATTGTTAATTGTTTGATAAATAATTATAGATAAATCAATACTGTTAAATAATAATATTCTATTTTTGCAATTCTGTTTAATATAATTCTATCATCATTACAAAAAAAATATTCTTGTTTTTGTGTCGGTTTATTTTTATCCATTTTCACATTATTGGTTTGTCAACCAATATTTTAAGTTCAGTAAAATGTGAAATACGGCGATACCCTGTAATTTTCCTTGTCACCACCAAATTGCATGAAAATTTGGATTGAGGTTCTACTTACCATCCATTTCAATTTTGGACTAGTGCCGTTGGTTGCTTTTTTATTACCAGTATTTAAAAAAAAATCGTATAATTGTAAATTAAAGCGGGTTATTGATTCAAATTATCTTTTAATGAAGTAAATGAATGTCAATTAACGTTAAATGACATAATTTAAGATTTTATCATAGTTTAACCACTAAATCTCACCCCCTCAATTAGATATAATTAAAACAATGTCATTGAATATCTTCTCACCACTAATTTGTATGAAAATTTGGATTTAGGTTCCTCCACTTGAAAATTGAACTTGTGCCCTTGGTTGTTTTTTATTTTTGAAGGGAGAAGACAACCCTTATGAAAAGAAGGAGTCAGTAGGCGGTAATGTAGAATAGCGCAACTCTTTATATTAATTAACACAATTGCTGTTTTTACTATTCTCTTTACAATTTCATAATATTTTCAATCAAATTTCTATTAAGCGGCAGTTTTTTTGGTATATCTTATTTAAGCTTTTTAAATGCTGATCTATATGCTATATTTCATAAATCAAAATAACAAATTATGGTCAGTTTTGACATTTTGTATACCTAACGGCCATCCCCTTCTTAGGTACACAAATGGACTCTATACTGAACTATAAATTGGAAAATCTTTTACTTATAACTCTTTTTATCGATGTAATAACTTTAATACAATAGCACAGAATAATAAACAATCAGAATGCCCACTCTCAGATGCCGCCTTTGAAGTTTTTCAGCACGCGCGCCATGTTTTAGAAGGAAACACAGAACACAGACTCGGATTGAGAGTCACATTTGGTGTAATGAGTCTTTATTGACATATGATTTGTGAGGTTATGTAATTGTTTATATTTATGTTTCATTATATTATATTTATATTTATGTTATTATATTTAACAATGGTAAAATAATTGTATAGTACGTCTATGATTGCCGTAAGTTAATTAAACCGGGTTAATTTTTCTATGCACACCACATAAATTTTCATTAAACAACACTGGTTCCCTTTAAAACATGGCGAAACGTCTGCGCGAACGAGATGCTCGTCTTAATTTTCCATGGAGAGTGGGCATTCTGATTGTTTATTATTCTGTGACAATAGTCGAACTGAAAATTGCAAAAATCCAAAATTTATTATTATTATTAGAAAAAACAAATATATTATTATTAAAAGATATATGAAAACAAAATTCATATAAAATATTTATATGAAATTTTAAAAATATACGTAAATATCATTTGATAGTAAATTTAATTATTATATAAACCACAGAATACACCACCCAACAAGAAGTGAAAGCTTTGTCGGCACCTTTGATGTTCGTAGGATAAAAATTTCGGAGGGAGAATGACAGTTACACCACTTAGTACACTAAGGAAAGTAATGAGGAAGTCGTTCAAAACAGTAGTCCAGTTATAGTTACATTGAGAAACAAAGTAATTATTAAGACTAATGTTTTTTAAGTAGATCTGTTTTGTATAAATTGTATTTTCTTTCTGTAAAATTTAATATAACTCATATCAAATCTGCTAAAAAACCGATAAAAAGCGATTGAATTTGAGATTTAATTTCAAAATAGAGATGAAAATCAGTCTATTTCTATTACTTTTTATCGATTTTATTGAAGGTATTAAAATATGTATAATGTATATACAAAATATTTATAACATTATTATTCTTTTTTACTATTATATTATACTTTTTTTTATATTATTATATTTTTTTAAGGTATTAAAATATGTATATGTATATATAAAAATATGTATAATAGTATTATTCTTTTTTAATATTAATCAACACACACGAAACAATACTTCTCAATACGTAAATAAACTTCAGTTTTTATAGGTTGGCAAATAAACTATTTAGAATATGGCGGATTCGCACAGAAATTTGTTTGGTGGTGTGTGGTGTGTTCTGTGATATAAATTAAATATTATGTTTAAAAATAACAAGTTACCTACATTAAAAAAAAGAGAAACAGTTGACGGAACTGTAGACTTGTGCGGAGCTTCATACTATGTTTTCTGTATTTTTAAAATTTAAATAATATATTTAAAGTTAAATAAAGTCATTTTAGTATTTATTTACTTTTTATATTTTAAACAAGTTGAATCAATTATTATGTGTGCTCCGAACGCCACCTGGTGACAAAGCATACGTTGTTTACTTATGACAAACCTGTCAAATTCACACCAAATAATTCAGACCAAATAATTGGACAAACCAATCAACTGCTTATATCCAGAATTCTTTCTCACAAATATGACAAAAAAGAACAACATCACTGCGCTTACAATACATGAGAATGTGAAGTATACATGTGACTTCGAAAAACATCAACATTTAAAAACCGAGCAAACTAAAAAGAAGATGGAGATATAAAAATCGATAGAAATAAAAAGAAACACTAAAGCAATCAACGGCAAAAAATATACAAATAATCTAAATATAATAAATTTAAATCTGATTTAAATAATAATAAATATAACACCATAAAAAACTCTTTAAGTCATAACATATCTCCACTGTATCCTTTACGAAAACACCAACGATACGCTCATCGGATACCAATAATTTTTATTCTCTGTCTATTCATTAATAACAGTGTCTCGCTTTATTTAACAATTTGTTAAATAAAGAATTTTAAACGAAGCAAAGTTTGGAAATTTGATTTAAGAAAAAAGTCACTATTTAATCATCATTAGGTAAGCATCCGTCGCAATATGGATGCTTATCATTTAATCAACAGTATCGATGTTACACATTACATTGTAATTGCAAGTTGAAAGTATTTCTTCTTATGGTCAGTCATCTGTAATATGATGCTGGCATTATATTACACGTTACAAACGTGTTCGTTTTCTGTAATTTCTCTCGAAGAATTATTCTGTCGTTGCCCAATCACGACATTGAAAAAACGGTAAGTGCTATATAATCTGAAGTTAGTGAAATTGCGAGAGAAATGCGTCCTCTAACCTTCAAGCAATTGCAATGGATCACAGAGTAGGTGTCAGCACGTACATTATATGAGAGCTTTGTAATTTGCCATTGGAATAATACTATATTGAAAATATAAACTGATAACTATATAAGCAATCATTAAAACAGCTCCACAGACATTTACCAGAAAAATAGTACAATATTAATATTTTTAAGTATTAAGTTAAGTAAAATGTTAGGGTTGTTTGTTTACTGAATTCAATTTGACTTACCTCTGTTGAGTTAAAAGATTTTCAGAAAGAAATGTTAATTTTACACAATTAATAATTAGTTAATGTATTTTGAGACATCTTCTTCTTATTAATGTGATGAATATTGGCGATTATCATTGCACTCTCTATCTTATTTCCAGCAGCGTGGAAAAGCTGCACATATGTTGTGTTAAAGCAGGTCCTAAGTTTCTTTAACCAGGATGTCTTCTTACTGGACATCGCTTTTCAATGCAGGATGGCTTATACGAGGGGATATCTGGATTAATTCTGCTTAACGTGTCCTAAGTCTTGTAAATTTAGTGATTTGATAATGGTCAGTACTTCT